TGAGCCGCCCAGGCTCAGGTCGTTGTTTCCCCACAATTCCTGAATTACTGTATTGAAAATGAGACAAGTCCACAAACGGCATCCTTACAGACGTGTTTCTTTGGTCCAGGTGAGTAAAGGCTGGGTAGAGAGCTGTGATTACGGTGCCCTGACTCGTTTGCTCAATAAGCAATTGGTTGGAGGCAGAAGATCAGCTGTGGAGAGCCCAGATGGGAGTAGCTGAGACACAATGACAATAAAAGTGTTGTCTGTTCTGTCTGTACAGCACTTTGGTTGGCCTTGTAGCTGTTTTAAGTGCTCTATAAATAAAATGGTATGGTATAATTGAGGTTCAATTCAATTCAAAAATACTTTATTAATCCCAGAGGGAAATTAAATGTTGTTGTAACTCATCATCCTGGTTTCATTAATGAGTTGTTCTAGATGCTGATGGCTGTGGGCAGGAAGGATCTCTTGTAGGGGTCTCTGAAGAAGCCTCTGACTGAAGACACTTTGTTGTTGTATGAGAGTCTGATGAAGAGGACGCTGAGGGTTGTCTATAATGTTTTTCATAAAATGAAGAACATTATAGACATTATAGACCTAGAACATTTTTCCAATGTGTCCACTGTCTCCCCTCACCATGTGTCTAAATCATTTCATCCTGGCCTCGCTAGAGTAATCTCTGAACTGTTATATGTTGTAGAAATATTCCACTGTGCAAAAAGAACCAATCAATCACTAAAAGACAGAAATTAATTTGACATTCAGGAACAAGATGGGAACTTCTGACAGAACATGTGTACAAATAAACAAATTGTTGTCTCTCAAATTCTTGGATTTTATTGGTTTGTTGATGGTTGAGTCTGTCACCTGAGCTGCTTTAGTGTAGAGGAAGTGACATCATGAAAGTTCTTCAGACTTTGTAATTTTGTGTAAATACCACACTGTGCAGTTTATTTTTACACAAACTAAAATATTTCTCCCTCTCTTTCTATCCAGAAGTCTCCCGCTTGGCGTCACATCAACCCCCTACCCCCTTGAGACTTTGTCATGTCTTCAAACATCAACATCTCCCTGGAAAACCCGTACGGTCAGGTGACCATCCCACGGGCCAAGCTCCGTTCCTCTGACATCGGAGCAGTTATAGCCAATCCAATGGCTTTAAACAGTGAGAACCCGTACGCCGAGAAGAGCTCTGCCCCTCCTCCATATACCATCAAAGAAAGTGAAGAGGAGGAGTACGGCAGGCGCTGCCCTGCATGTTGCTACCGCTGCTGCAGGAGGAAGTGACATCATCACAACAGGAGGACTGTGATTAGCTCTGTTTCAGGGCCCCTCCACCTGGTCATTTACACCCATCACTGAATTGTAATAAGGACCAGAACCCATACGGAACCAAAAGACACAGTGCACACCTGAGTTCCGAGAGCTTTAAGAACCTGGAAAGTCCAAGGAATATGAGGACTTTGTAGACTTGGGCACTTTGATAAACCTGGAGACTCTGACGGACTTGGAGACTCTAAGGAACCTGGAGACTCTGAGGAACTGTAGACTCTAAGGAACCTGGAGACTCTGAGGAACCTGGAGACTCTGAGGAACCTGGAGACTCTGAGGAACTGTAGACTCTAAGGAACCTGGAGACTCTGAGGAACCTGGAGACTCTGAGGAACCTGGAGACTCTGAGGAACCTGAAGGCCCTGAGGAACCTGAAGGCCCTGAGGAACCTGGAGGCTCTGAGGAACATGGAGACTCTAAGGAACCTGGAGACTCTGAGGAACTGTAGACTCTAAGGAACGTGGAGACTCTAAGGAACCTGGAGACTCTGAGGAACTGTAGACTCTGAGGAACCTGGAGGCTCCGAGGAACCGGAGACCCTGAGGAACCGGAGACTCTGAGGAACCTGAGGATTTGGGGGACCCTATAGAATCAGAAGACCCATTTGTTCGAGACTCATTCCTGCTAGTGTTGAAATTTTATTTTTTAATTTTGTTGCCATGGCAATGGGTCGACACAATGAGATGTTTGTAAACATTTTGTTTTACCACTTAGACATCATATTTATATTTTTAATATTGGAAACTTTAGTCAAATGCTTCAGTATGACTTTCTGTTTAGACTTATTTGACTACAGAGAAAAACAAAACAAAGCTTAATTTAAACTAAAAGTTTGTCTTCGATGTTTAGAAGCTGTTTAATTTGAATAAAATTAATTAATCACTTCTCCAAGGTTAAATAAACTCATCCCAGTTTTTAAATAGAAAGATGTATTAAAGAAAATATCAAGCAACTTCTGACTCGGCTGAAAAACAAAAGGTTTTTGTTTCAATTAAACTTTTTAATCTAAATTTAGTTTAGTTTTTTCCGTTGGATATTGGAATATTTCTAGTTCAGACAAGATGTTTGTGTCTCTAAACATTGTTTAAACACAGAATGACACTGTGGTCTCCGTCTAGGCTCAGTGTTGTTTCCTCCCGGTCTCGATCGTCTCAGTGTGATCTCAGGCTAGTCTCAAAGGAGCTAGGTTGTTGAGAGCTTTGTAGGTTAGAAGTAAGATTTTGAATTCTATTCTGGATTTGACAGGGAGCCAATGGAGAGAAACTAAAACTGGAGAAATATGATCTCTCCTACTAACTCCAGTTAAGACTCTGGCAGCAGCAGTTTGGATCAACTGAAGATGTTTTAAAGAAGTATTTGGACACCCAGATAATAAACCATTGCAATAGTCCAGTCTAGACGTGACAAATGCATGGACCAGTTTTTCTGTATCATTTTTAGATCAGATGTTTTTAATTTTAGTGATATTACACAGGTGGAAGAAGGCGGTTCTAGTAAAATTTTTAATGTGGGGAATAAAAGACATGTCCTGATCAAAAATAACACCAAGATTTTTAACATTAGAGCTGGAGGACAGATTAATGCCATCTAAGGAGGGAGAAAGACTGAAAAATTAATTCCTAAGGTGCTCCGGTCCAAAAACCAAAACCTCAGTCTTGTCTGTGTTCAACAGGAGAAAATTAAGGATCATCCATGTTTTTAAGACATGCTTGTAGTCTAAGTAGCTGATTGGATTCATTGGGTTTAATGGACAAATATAATTGTTTAATCAACATAACAATGAAACTGTATCCCATGCTGTTTAATAACTTTACCTAATGGAAGCATATATAAAGTAAAGAGTACTGCTCCAAGCACCAAACCCTGAGGAACTCCATGGCTAACTTTAGTGTATGAAGAATATTTACATTTACAAATTTGAATCTATCAGATAGATATGATTTAAGCCACTTTAGAGCTGTTCCTGTAATTCCAACATCATATTCAAGCCTCTGTAGTAGAATATTGTGATCAACTGTATCAAATGCAGCACTGAGGTCTAACAGGACCAGTATAGACACAAGTCCATTGTCTGGCCATGAGAATATCATTAGTGACTTTCACCTGTAGTTTCTGTGCTATGATGAGCTCTAAACCCCGACTGAAACTCTTCAAACAGATTATTTCTTTGTAGATGTTCACACAACTGACCTGCAACTATTTTCTCTAGAATTTTTTAGATGAAAGTTAGATTAGATATAGATTTTTAAATATAATATTGTGCCTACAGTTTACAAGTTTCAGCTGTAAAATCCATGAACTGCTTTCTGGGCTAATTTCCTCGACTCTTGAGTCCAAATATAAAACTTCTTTCTCTGTTTTAAAAACTGTTTCTAAAGACACGCTACCTGTAGAACTCCTTCGCTAGTTTTACATTAGATGTGTAAATTTAATCCAGGATCAGCACTTTTCCTCAAATTGTGAAAATTGCTGAAAACCCCTGAGAAGATTTGGTATTAATTGGTAAACTGTGAGTCTTATTCTTGTTATTATAACATCTTGGAGGTAAAAGGACGAATCTACTGAATAATAAACTCTTCCATGTTTGCTGCTTGATAATCCAGCTAGATAACAAGGTTGGGTCAGGTCCTCTGAAGAAGAACCCATCTAGGGACACTGAATCAACCTTGTTAGAGTTCCAATTTTGTCTTAGAAATTGTCAACTATAAAATAATTTTATTGATCTAAAAATGCAATTATACAAACAGAAAAAAAACTTTGGCTGACACTGTCTGACCTTCAGTTTATACTGTCTGATCTTTTTTTCAGGTCTCTCCTGAAATGAGTCCCCGAGACTCAATGGGATTAACCTGTATGAATAAAAGGTTGAATGAATGAATGATCTTCAGGTGAACCTGTTTGATGTATTGATTTTATAATGTAATCTGTGTATTGATCTCTGATCTGATTGGTGTCACTGATTGGGTGACGGTGACATTGAACAGGAGGTGTCTGTGCATGTGTGTGTGTGCGTGCGTGCGTGCGTGTGTGTGTGGTACTGTTGCTTGGCAGCCTGTTCATCCACCTGTCCTGTCACCTGATATGTGGACACCTGCAGAAACCTGAGCTCAGCTCTACTCCAGTATTGATTATTGTCTGAAGCTGTTGGAAGTTAAAAAACTCACATCTTCATTTTATTAATGAATAAAGGTTTACAACTTTTTTGACTCAAAATATTTTTAAGTTTTTTATATTACAGCAAATTAAAATTCCTCCTTGATTGCTAACAAGTTATTGATCGTTTGGGAGGCTCAGTTTGTGTTGTGTGTGTGTGGTTGTGTGTGTATTGGGGGTAGTTTTGTGTGTGTGTGTGTGTGGTTGTGTGCGTGGTTGTGTGTGTGTAGGCATGGCTGAATTATTGAAGAAGTGAGTCTGTCACTTTCAGAGTTCATCTGGAACCACAGTGAAGACAAGAAGACGAGAGAAAAGGACGAGGAGAAGAGGGCAAAGATACGAGACACAAAGAGATGGTGAGACGAGGGCAAATACTTAAATGACAAAAAACAGCTCTCTGGAAGGAATCAAAATGACAACAGCGATAAAACAAACGGGGAAGAAGAAAACCTGAAGAACAGAACCAGTCAAAAACAAGAAGAGGAGAAAAAAAGACAAAATCTATAAAAGAAGAAAAGATGTAAAACGAACAAAAAAGTCTGGGTGAGTTTCTGTAACAACCAATCAGAAGGTAGTTTACAGAATGATTTGTTACAACTGAGATACAGACAAAATGTTTTGATATTTGATTGACAGGATTCAAGTGTGTTCTACATCTTTTAGTTACTTTCATTTGAGTCTGGCCCCAGTCTGAATCCTTGACTGGTCTTAGTCTGAATCCCTCACTGGTCTCAGTATGAATTCCTCACTGGTATAAGTCTGAATCCCTGATTGGTCTTAGTCTGAATCCCTGACTGATATTAGGCTGGATGCAATTTGGTGTCAGTCTTGTCTCAGTGTTGTCTCATTCTGGTGTCAGTCTAGTCTCAGTGTGGTCTCATTCTATTCTCAGTGTTGTCTCATTCTGGTCTCTGTTTAGTCTCAGTGTGGTCTCATTTTGGTCTTAGTTTAGTCTCAGTTTGGTCTCATTCTGTTCTTAGTATAATATCAGTGTGGTCTCAGTCTAGTTTCAGTGTGGTCTTAGTCTAGTCTCATTGTTGTCTAATTCTGATCTCAGTCTAGTCTCAGTGTGGTCTCAGTCTAGTCTCAGTGTGGTCTCAGTCTAGTCTCAGTGTTGTCTCATTCTGGTCTCATTCTAGCCTCAGTGTGGTCTGAGTCTAGTCTAGTGTGGTCTCATTCTGGTGTTAGACTAGTCTAATTCTGGCCTCAGTGTGGTTTTAGTCTACTCTCAGTGTTGTCTCATTATGGTCTCAGTCTAGTCTCAGTGTTGTCTCATTCTGGCCTCAATGTTGTCTCATTCTGGAATCAGTATAGCCTCAATGTGGTCTCAGTCTAGCCTCAGTGTCATCTTAGTTCAGTCTCAGTGTTGTCTCAGCCTAGACTCAGTGTTGCCTCATTTGAGTCTCAGTCTAGTCTCAGTCTAGTTTCAGTGTGGTCTCTGTCTAGACTCAGTGTAGTCTCATTCTGGTCTCAGTGGGGTCTCTGTCTAGTCTCAGTGTTTTTTCATTATCATCTCAGTCTAATCTCAGTGTGGTTTCAGTCTACTTTCAGTGTTGTCTCATTCTGGTCTCAGTCTACAGTCTCAGTACAGTCCCAGTGTTGTCTCATTCTGGTGGTATACTAGTCTAATTCTGGCCTCAGTGTAGTCTCAGTCTAGACTCACTGTGGTCTCAGTCTACTCTGTGTTGACTCATTCTGGTCTCAGTCTGATCTTAGTGTATTCTCAGTCTGGTCTCAGTGTTGTCTCTTTCCTGCCTCAGTGTTGTCTCATTCTGGTATCAGTAAAGACTCAATATGGTCTCAGTCTATTCTCAGTGTGGACTGAGTATAGTCTCAGTGTTGTTTCATTCTAGTCTTATTCTAGTCTCAGTGTGTTCTCATTATGGTATCAGTGTAGTCTCAGTTTAGTTTCAGTGTGGTCTTAGTCTAGACTCAGTGTTGTCTCATTTGAGTCTCAATCTAGTCTCAGTGTGGTCTCAGTCTAGTCTTAGTGTGGTCTCATTCTGGTGTCAGTGTTAACTCATTCTGGTCTCACTGTGGTCTCATTCTGGTATCAGTGTAGTCAGTCTAATTTCAGTGTGGACTCCATCTAGACTCAGTGTGGTCTCATTCTGGTCTCAGTTGTGCCTCTGTTTAGTCTCAGTGTTTTTTCATTCGCATCTCAGTCTAATCTCAGTGTGGTTTCAGTTTACTTTCAGCGTTGTCTCATTCTGGTCTCAGTCTACAGTTTCAGTGTAGTCTCAGTACAGTCTCAGTGTTGTCTCATTCTGGTGTTAGACTAGTCTAATTCTGGCCTCAGTGTAATCTCAGTCTAGACTCACTATTGTCTCAGTCTACTCTGTGTTGTCTCATTCTGGTTTCAGTATAGTCTCAATATGGTCTCAGTCTAGTCTCAGTGTGGACTTAGTATAGTCTCAGTCTAGTCTCAGTGTTGTTTCATTCTAGGCTTATTCTATTTTCAGTGTGTTCTCATTATGGTCTCAGTGTTGTCTCATTCTAGGTTCAATCAGGTCTCAGTGTTGTCTCATTCTGGTCTCAGTCTAGTCTCAGTGCGATCTCATTCTGGTATCAGTGTAGTCTCAGTTTAGTTTCAGTTTGGTCTCAGTCTAGTCTCAGTGTTGTCTCATTCAGGTCTTAGTCTAGTCTGTCTGGTCTTGTCTCAGTCTAGCCTCATTCTGGTCTTAGTCTAGTCTCAGTCTAGTCTCAGTGTAGTGTCGTTCTGGTCTCAGTGTGATCTCAGTCTAGTCTCATTGTGCTCTTATTCTGGGTTAATTCTGGTGTCAGTTTAGTCTCAGTGTTGTCTCATTCTGGTCTCAGTGTGGTCTCAGTGTGGTCTCAGTCTAGTCGCAGTGTTGTCTCATTCTTGTTTCAGTGTGATCTTATTGTGTTCGCAATGCTGACTCATTCTGGTCTCAGTCTAATCTCAGTGTGGTCTCAGTCTACTCTGTGTTTTCTCAAACTAGTCTCATTCTAGCTTCAGTGTGGTCTCAGTCTTGTCTCAGTGTAGTCTCCATCTAGGCTCAGTGTTGTTTCATTCTGGTCACAGTCTAGTCTAATTCTACTCTCTGTGTGGTCTCAGTCTAGAGTCAGCGTGGTCTCAGTCTAGTCTCAGTGTTGTCTCACTTTGGTATCAGTGTGATCTCAATCTAATTTCAGTGTGGTCTTGGGGTAGTCTCAGTCTAGTCTCAGTGTGGTCTCATTCTGGTCTCAGTGTGATCTCAGTATAGTCTCAGTGTGGTCTCATTCTGGTCTCAGTCTAGTCTCAGTGTGGTCTCATTCTGGCCTCAGTCTTGTCTCTGTGTGGTCTCAGTCTTGTCTCGGTGTGGTCTCAGTATAATGTCAGTGTGGTCTCAGTCTACAAACCGGATTCAAAAAAAGTTGGGACACTAAACAAATTGTGAATAAAAACTGAATGCAATGATGTGGAGGTGCCAACATCTAATATTTTATTCAGAATAGAACACAAATCATAGATCAAAAGTTTAAACTAAGAGAATGTATCATTTTAAGGGAAAAATCTGTTGTTTCCAAATTTCATGGCGTCAACAAATCACAAAAAAGTTGGGACAAGTTCATTTTTACCACTGTGTGGCATCCTCCCTTCTTCTTACAACACTCAACAGACGTCTGGGGACAGAGGAGACCAGTTTCTCAAGTTTAGAAATAGGAATGCTCTCCCATTCATGTCTAATACAGGCCTCTAACTGTTCAATCGTCTTGGGCCTTCTTTGTCGCACCTTCCTCTTTATGATGTGCCAAATGTTCTCTATAGGTGAAAGATCTGGACTGCAGGCTGGCCATTTCTGTAACCGGATCCTTCTCCTACGTAGCCATGATGTTGTGATTGCTGCAGAATTTGGTCTGACATTATCGTGTTGAAAAATGCAGGGTCTTCCCAGAAAGAGATGACGTCTAGATGGGAGCATATGTTGTTCTAGAATCTGAACATAGTTCTCTGCATTAATGGTGCCTTTCCAGACATGCAAGCTGCCCATGCCACAAGCGCTCATTCAACCCCATACCATCAGTGATGCAGGCTTCTGAACGGAGCGTTGATAACAACTTGGGCTATCCTTGTCCTCTCTGGTCTGGATGACAAGGCATCCCAGTGTTCCATAAAGAACTTCAAATCGTGACTCATCTGACCACAGAACAGTCTTCCATTTTGCCACACTCCATTTTAAATGACCCCTGGCCCAGTGCAAACGTCTGAGCTTGTGGAACTTGTTTAGAAATGGCTTCCTCTTTGCACTGTAGAGTTTCAGCTGGCAACAGCGGATGGCACGGTGGATTGTGTTCACTGACAATGCTTTCTGGAAGTACTCCTGAGCCCATTCTGTTATTTCCTTTACAGTGGCATTCCTGTTTGAGGTGCAGTGACGTTTAAGGGCCCGGAGATCACGAGCATCCAGTAGAGTTTTTCGGCCTTGAGCCTTACGCACAGCGATTGTTCCAGATTCTCTGAATCTTTTGATGATGTTATGCATGGTTGATGATGATAACTTAAAAGTCTTTGCTATTTTACGCCGGGTAACACCATTCTGGTATTGCTGCACTATCTTTCTGCGCAACAATGGTGGAATTGGTGATCCTCTTACCATCTTGGATTCTGAGAGACACTGACACTCTGAGAAGCTATTTTTATACCCAATCATGTTGTCAATTGACCTAATTAGTGTTAATTAGTCTTCCAGCTGTTCGTTATATGCTTAATTTCCTTTTTCCAGCCACTTATTGCTACTTGTCCCAACTTTTTTGGGATTTGTTGACACTGTGAAATTTTGAATCAACATATTTTTCCTTTAAAATGTTACATTTACTCAGATTAAACTTTTGATCTGTCATCTATGTTATATTACGAATAAAATGTTGACATTTGCCATCTCCACATCATTGCATTCAGTTTTTATTCACAATTTGTTTAGTGTCCCAACTTTTTTGGAATTCGGTTTGTAGTTTCAAGGTTGTTTCATTTTGGTCTCAAAGTATTATCAGTGTGTTAGACTAGTCTCAGTGTGGTTTCATTCTGGTCTCAGTATTGTCTCAATCTGGTCTCATTCTAGCATAAGTGAAGTCTTAGTCTAGTTTCAGTGTTGTCCCATTCTGGTCTAAGTCTAGTCTCAGTATGGTCTCAGTCTAGTTTTAGTGTGATCTCAATCTTGTCTCAGTGATGTCTAATTCTTGTCTCAGTCTTGTCCCAGTGTGGCCTCAGTCTAGTCCCAGTGTGGTCTTATTCTGGTATCAGTGTGTTTCCAGTCTAGTTTCAATGTGGTGTCAGTCTAGTCTCAGTGTTTCTCATTCTGGTGTTGGTCTCATTCAGTGTGGTCTCAGTATTGTCTCAGTCTGGTCTCAGTCTAGTCTCAGTGTGGTCTCTGTTTAGGCTCAGTGTTGTTTCATTCTGGTCACAGTCTAGTCTCAGTGTGATCTTAGACCAGTCTCACTGTGGTCTCAGTCTATCCTTAGTCTAGTCTTAATGTGGTTTCATTCTGGTCTCAGTCTAGTCTAATTGTGGTCTCATTCTGGTCTCAGTGGGGTCTCTATCTAGTCTCGGTGTTTTTTCATTCTCATCTCAGTCTAATTTCAGTGTGGTCTCAGTCTAGTCTCAGTGTGGTCTCATTCTGTTCTGTGTTGTCTCATTCTGGTCTTATGATGTAAGATCAGAATTTTGTGTTAATGAATGTGGAGTTCTTCACGGCTCTGTGTTGGGACCAAGTTATTTATTTTTTATGTGAATGATCTGGTTGATGTGTCAGGGCTTTTGAAGTGTGTTTTATTTGCAGATGACACCACATTTTTTTGTTCAGGTGAAGATATTGAACGGATGTTAGAAATGATACAAGCAGAATTCATAAAAATATGTACTTGGTTCCAACTTCATAAGTTATCATTAAATTTGGAAAAACAAACTACATGATGTTTAGTAATAGAAAGAAAATGATCTAAGTCCCATTTAAAATTAACAGTACTGAAGTTTTTACAATGAAATAAAATTTGTGGGTGTTGTAGTCCCTGCGATGGATTTGTGACCCGTCCAGGGTGTACCCTGCCCCTCGCACAGTGATTGCTGGACATGGGCACCTATCATTCTGGTCGCAGTGTGGTCTCAGTACCTTAGTCTTTGAGAGGATTGATGTGTTTTAGTCCATTTTTGTTAGTCATTTGTTTCTAGATCCAACTTGGATCCTTTTTATGGTCAGTGTGTTTTTTGTCTTTTACTTGTTTAATGTTTAGTTTTGTTACTGGTCTTCATCTGATCAGTCTGCAACATTTTCATTTTAATTACTCACCGCTGTCTGCATCTGGGTCCATCCACTAAACACTCCACCGAACCTGATAGTTTTGCCTCAGTCTGGTCCTGGTCTTGTTTCATTCTGGTTTGTCTGGTCCAAGTCTTGGTTCAGTTTAGCCCCTGTCTTGACCCATCCTGATCTTAATCTGGTCCCTGTCTGTTCCCAGGATAGTTCCAGTCTGATCTCAGTAGAGTCTCAATCTGGTCTCAGTCTGGTCCCAGTCTGAACTCAGCATGGTCACTCTGATCTCAGCATGGTTGCAGTCTGGTCTCAGTATAATCCTAGTCGAATTTCTCAGTATAATCCTAGTCTGATTTCTCTGTATTAGCCTAGTCTGATTTTAGTATGGTCTTAGTCTGATCCATTTGATCTCAATAAAGTCTCAGTATAGTGTCAGTATGTTCCCGGTCTGGTCCCACTGTGATCTCAGTCTGGTCCCAATATGGTCTCAGTATAGTCCCAGTCTGATCTCCGGATGGTCCAAGTCTGGTCTCCATATAGTTCCAGTGTCTCCATATAGTTTTCAAGTCAGGTCCTGGTCTTTCCAGTATAGTTCTAGTCTGGTCTCAATATTGGCATCAGAAGCATTTATAATGTAGTGGGGGCACACTGGTGGTGGTGGTGGTGGGGGTCTGGGGGTTCTCCCCCCCAAAAATTCTGAATAAAGTAGATGACATTTCCTGAATTCTTGTGTATTTTAATGGGTTGTTAAACATCTACATTTACCTCCATAAGTAAACACTTGAGTCTATAACTATTTTAAAGAGCACGGCACAAGAAGTAGCCTGACCAACAGCTCTTCTTGTGTGAATAGCGCACACTCCACTTCTCTCAGCCCCCACCCCCCACCCCCAGTCAGCAATTGCCTGCACTAATGTAGCACTAAGCTAGCGTGTAACACAGAGGTGTCTCCCTCTCCTCCCCCCATGAGTCCCCTGCCAAGACATGTGACTCACTGCATGTGGTGTGAGATGTTGTAGGTAACCAGAAAAACCTCAGAATGTTGTCAGTCTCAATCTCTATAGTCCAAGTCTGGTATTGATCCAATCTCAGTATAGTCCCAGTTTGGCTCCAGTATGGTCTCAGTCTGATCTTAGTATAGTCCCAGTCCCAGTTCAATTCCAGTGAAATTAAAACCCAAAAAGTAATCCCAAAAATGTATTTGTTTTCTCTAAATTACAATAGAAAAATGTCTCATGATAAAAAAGAAGAACAAGAGGAGGAGGAGGACGTGACCCCTCAACCCCCCGCTCATCCTACCTCCTCAGTTACCACGAAAACGATGATGTCACCAAGGAAGCAGGACCTAGTGTGCATCGTGTGTTTTGGCAGCTACGATCTAACAACACGGCTGCCGCGGCGACTACACTGTGGCCACGCCTTCTGTCAAGCATGCCTGAAGAGACTGGATACAGTGATCAATGAACAGGTGACAGATGACATTACAATTTTAATCAATAACATCATCAGTCTACTCAACATCATCAGTGGTTAGAACAGTTGTTCTCCAACAAGAGTCAGTGGTTTAATTCCGCCACTATGTAGTCACATGTCCAAGCAAGACAGTGAACCCCTCATTGCCTCTGATGTGCCCCATTGGTGTCTGAATGGGATCTAAACCTCTGATTGGTCTCTAGAGGAGGATATACTCTTACCTTAGTAGAAATGTAGTAAAGAGCTGTATGAATGTGGGTGTGGGTGTGCGCATGTGTGTGTACTACCTAAAACCTGCCAGTTAGTTATGCCGTTTGTTTGTTTTTCCAATTCAGTTCAATTCATTTTATTTCTGTAGCTCCAAGTCCCAACAAGAGTCATCTCAGGGTGCTGTACAAAACCATTCACAAACCGGTACAGGTCCTTCTCAAAAAATTAGCATATTGTGATAAATGTCATTATTTTCCATAATGTAATGATAAAAATGAAACTTTCATATATTTCAGATTCATTGCACACCAACTGAAATATTTCAGGTCTTTAATTGTTTTAATACTGATGATTATGGCATACAGCTCATGAAAACCCAAAATGCCTGTCTCAAAAAATTAGCATATCATGAAAAGGTTCTCTAAACAAGCTATTAACCTAACCATCTGAATCAACAACGTAACTCTAAACACCTGCAAAAGATTCCTGAGGCTTTTAAAAACTCCCAGCCTTGTTCATTACTCAAAACCGCAATCATGGGTAAGACTGCCGACCTGACTGCTGTCCAGAAGGCCATCATTGACACCTTCAAGCAAGAGGGTAAGACACAGAAAGAAATTGCTGAGCGAATAGGCTGTTCCCAGAGTGCTGTATCAAGGCACCTCAGTGGGAAGTCTGTGGGAAGGGAAAAGTGTGGCAGAAAACGCTGCACAACGAGAAGAGGTGACCGGACCCTGAGGAGGATTGTGGAGAAGGGCCGATTCCAGACCTTGGGGGACCTGCGGAAGCAGTGGACTGAGTCTGGAGTAGAAACATCCAGAGCCACTGTGCACAGGCGTGTGCAGGAAATGGGCTACAGGTGCCGCATTCCCCAGGTCAAGTCACTTTTGAACAAGAGACTGTGTCAGAAGCATCTCGCCTGGGACTGCTGCTGAGTGGTCCAAAGTTATGTTCTCTGATTACAGTAAATTTTGCATTTCCTTTGGAAATCAAGGTCCCAGAGTCTGGAGGAAGAGAGGAGACACAGAATTCGCATTGCTTGAGGTCCAGTGCCAAGTTTCCCAGTCACTGGGGTGTCATGTCATCTGCTGGTGTTGGTCCACTGTGTTTTATCAAGGGCAGGGTCAATGCAGCTAGCTATCAGGAGATTTTGGAGCACTTCATGCTTCCATCTGCTGAAAAGCTTTATGGAGATGAAGATTTCATTTTTCAGCACGACCTGGCACCTGCTCACAGTGCCAAAACCACTGGTAAATGGTTTACTGACCATGGTATTACTGTGCTCAATTGGCCTGCCAACTCTCCTGACCTGAACCCCATAGAGAACCTGTGGGATATTGTGAAGAGAAAGTTGAGAGACGCAAGACCCAACACTCTGGATGAGCTTAAGGCCGCTATCGAAGCATCCTGGGCCTCCATAACACCTCAGCAGTGCCACAGGCTGATTGCCTCCATGCCACGCCGCATTGAAGCAGTCATTCATGCAAAAGGATTCCTGACCAAGTATTGAGTGCATAACTGAACATGATTATTTGAAGGTTGGCGGTTTTTGTATTAAAAACACTTGTCTTGAAATGAAATGAAAGTTTCATTTTTATCATTACATTATGGAAAATAATGACCTTTATCCCAATATGCTAATTTTTTTAGAAGGACCTGTACATTAAAAAAGACAAAAGTCAAGACAAAAGTTATCGGTCTAAGGAAGCCAGCAGAATGGTTTTCAACTGGACATTCTGGGCCTGAAGACAGTAAATATCTCATTAATCCCTGGCTCAGTCTTTGAACCCATGATTTTTATTTACTAAACTTTAATTAACCAAGCACATCCCTCTAACATCACAGATCTCAGTATCAAGGTTCTCCTGGGTCTGAAGTCAGTCTAACATGCAGGTTTTTGGACTGTGGCAGGAAAACAGTACTCAGAGACAATCCATGCAAACACAAGGAGAACATGCAAACTCCATACTGAAACCCCCCC